AGGAAGATAGTGGTGGCTTTTAACACTGCGCAAAGTGTGATCCCCCCCCCCCCCCCCCATCAAAACAAACAAAACCCCAAAACAAAAATCCAACGCCTGGAATAAATAGTCGCTAGTTGTTAGTAACCCGAAGAACACACTCTTCTATTCATCAGCCAGTGTGCTGCGTATTCTTGTTGAGGTAGAATCTAGATCTAGATCTTATTTCAAGTTTTCCCTCATCCTGAGTCGAATGTGTGACAACTAGATTCAATGAGTGACACTCGGGTGGTGGGAAAGATCAGTGAACTTTGCCCTAAATGTTCGGGAAAACGTGTTGATGTGTTATCGACAAATCACTACTCAAGAATTACAAAGTTCTGTCTGCTCAGTGCATAGTTTTGAGAAATTTGACGTTAAAAATATTGCGTTTCACAACATGGTCAAACTTTTTTCGAGCGCAATATTTTCAATATCTTGATAATGACTCCGAGTAATCTTACGTTTTTAATAGAGCAGATAGATTGTTCGTTTGTTTGACTTCATGGTCTTAGTGAATCCAAAGCGGACAAAAGTGGAACTTTTTAGTTCTGAGGTTGCAAACTTCTACGTTTGATGTTTTCTTTTCAGGCATTGGTTACGGTCCCTGTCTAGACTTCCGAGATGTCAACATTTAGTATTGATTTATTCATGGGCAGGTTGTGAACTCTGAGGTAAGACAACTAGAAACATAGCGTTGTTGTAGTCGTTCATCATCATCATCATCATCATCATCATCATCATCATCATCATCATCATCATCATCATCATCATCATCATCATCATCAACATCATCATCATCATCATCATTTTCCTTCTCATTATCCTTTTCATTTCCTTTTCATTCTCCTCATCTTCATTCTCCTTATCTCTATCATCAACGTTAATGCTGAATGGGGGATCATAGGTTCATCCCTTATCACATCCTCACCTTTCACTTTATATATATATATATTTATTTATATATATATATATATATATATATATATATATATATATATATATATATATATATATATATACATTTGAACCTGCCATGACGGCCACCTGAATTATAGGGCCACTTGTACAAACGGCCACTTTCCATCCCCCGCTCCCTCCCTTGTTTTTTTTTGCTGTATAATTTCACTGAATAAAACCGTCACCCGTCCAACGCGGCCGAGGCCACTATATAATTTTATCACAGGCCAACCTATAAACCCTGTCTTAGACGGTCACCTCTCTCATCGCCTGGCGTTTTGTCATAAATAACAAGATAAGACTCGATAAGATAAGATAAGACACGATAAGATAAGATAAAAAAGTATACATCTTTATTGTCAAGATCCTGGTGTTGTGGACGAGCAGTCTTAATCCAATAGCCTGTCGTTATTCTTTCCAACCGGTCAGGTTGCGTAGGCCCGTCCCACTGTAGACCGACCTGTAACAATACTTTTTCAGCTGTTGGCGAGGTAAGCGTGTGATGCCCCTTCACCCATAAGCCCCGCCCACAACTCAAACACAAATTGTAAGTGAGATGAGTGGTTACTGTTTACCCAGTGTGTCACGAAGTACGAGACAATGGACGTCAACGTGAACTTGTGAAAGAAGCGTCGCTCGTTCTCCAAGTGTTGGCGACCCATGTTTTTGTTTTATTTTGGCCTTCTGTCTTCCCCGTTTGACACATTTAATTTTATTCTACCCTCGACGACGACAACAACAACCACAACCACCACCACCACCACCACCACCACAACAACAACAACAACAACAACAACAACAACAACAACAACAACAACATCCGGCGGGGGCATCTCTTCTGGGAGGTTGGACTGCCTCACCTGCTACCCAACAAAACAACAACTACAACCACAATAAAAACGACAACAACAACAACAACACAACAAAAATAACACAACAACAGCAGCAAACAAAAAGCCCAACGATCTTCTCCCCTCAACTCCCTTTTCAAAAGAAAACAGAGTGCAGCCCAAAGCCTGCGACCACCTCCAGTTGGGACCTCAGAAGGGAATGGTTTGTTTGCCTCATTTTGATCAGTCCTGCCTAAGACGGCCACCTGTCTTATACGGCTACTTTTCTCCTTGACAATGGGTGGCCGTATTACACAGATTCGACTACATATATGTTATATATAATATAATATATGTATATATAGATAGATAGCTATATAGATAGATAGATATAAATAATTTAATACCTGAGTTGTGGTGTTAGATCATGATTTATCCTACGAGTGAAATGGCCAAGTTGTAATCACGAGTTTCAACGAGTGATTACAACTGGCAATTTCACAAGTAGGATAAATCATGGTCTAACACCACAAAGAGTGTAATGAATTTTTTATACCATACTGATATCAGCTGGCGAAATACGTCCGTATCAACAAAGTTCAAATGACCCCTCAAATGGACAAGAGGATCCATTCTAGAGTCTCACATTAAAACAACATTTTCATGCCCGTCGAAGTCAGATTGAGAATTGGGAAAAATCTGGATTGTTTTCCTTTACTTTTAGCCACGCTAATTTACAAGTTGTGCTATCCGTATGTCTCCTTCCGCGAAACAAAGCCCAAACAAAACTATCCTAACGTAAATATAAGCAAAGTAATCAAAAAATGTACGATTCAAAAGTTGAAAGAAACTGCATTAATATGGCATGTTTTTGTTAGAATAGAGATGACTTTGATTTTGATTTCAAACTTCGTAACCAAAACAAACCAAAGGCAAAGAGTTATTCTCTAGATCTAGATCTAGATCTAGATTTCTCTAGATATTAGAACTAACGCATTGCTTTAAATTGGTCAAAGATGAAAAAAAAAAGCCTTTTTAACAACAAAAGTTGTCAAGTCACTTGGATACTGACGTGCTGATTCTAAATATGTAGTTAGATCTAGTTTTTGTCTGTCGATTTTCGATATTCTGGATTTTTTAAGGGGAGGTAAGAATATCAGAATAACAAGGGAAGTAACTTTTATTATTTCCAAAAAAGTAATTATCCAAGAGTTTTATATTCGTATATTGACTAATATCATATTTATCAATTACATATTGTTTTAAAGTTTAATCTTCTTTGATTTATATAGTTGATCATTTAGTATATGTAGTGATAGAGTTAATGTAAACAAAAATTCAAAAGGCAATGCAAGTGACCTAAACAGTGGGGTTTTTATTGTTTGATAAAGTGACTATCAAATTCCAAAACATTGTAATTCTTTCATGAACATTTCATTTATTCAGACTGATATAGGCCTAGTGCCAATAAAGGCTGAAATAAAGCCCAAAAAACAAACACAAACACACACTCCTCACTCCCCATTAGAGGTGTGCGAGTCCAGCATATTAAGATTCGAGTCCACACTCGAGTATCTGCTCTGGACTCGAGTAATTACTCGAGTAATTACTCGAGTCCCACGGCTCTTAAGACTCGAGTAATTACTCGAGTAATAGTATCCCAAAAGGGAATTTTAGTGGGTTTCAAAAAAAGTTTTGTTGAATATCGGACAGAAAATAGAGTGCCTTCCTTGGAGGGAGCTTGAGTAGGCTTATGGCAATTCTAGACACATGCTGTTTATACCGTATTTATTTCATTTTATCTTAGGAAGTGGCTATTCTCACCCCAGGTGAGAATAAAAATGTGATCGACCTCTCACCCCGGGTGAGACTTGCCAGCGTTGGCTATTCTCACCCGGTGTGAAACAAAACTGGTTTTTCCTAATTTCTGAATACTTCCTATCGGGGAGGATGATTAAATAGACAAACCCCTTCTTTAACAAAATGATATTATAACACAAAAGTAAAACTAATTTGGCGGTCTACAAAGATGCTACTGCTATTTCACTTTTAGAATAGAGCCGAACTACCCTAATCGGCATTTTGTTTTGCCCAGAAATTCTCGCAATATCTAGGCTACTCCGCTCTCTCTCTCTCTCTCTCTCTCTCTCTCTCTCTCTCTCTCTCTCTCTCTCTCTCTCTCTCTCTCTCTCTCTCTCTCTCTCTCTCTCTCTCTCAACCTGGTAATTCTCGCATGCCATAAAACACTAGAAAACTGAGAGAGATCGGCCCTAGCCCCACTAAGGGCTTTATGTATAAAAATACAGAAAATCGAGATATACCGTGAATACCTACTTTCACTCTCACCACTACACACTACACACAGACACACTCACACAGCGCGAGGGAGAGAGACTCTGATGCACATACATACACACACATACACACACACACACACACACACACACACACACACACACACACACACACAATAAAATAAAAAAAATAATAATAAAAAATAAAAATAGGCCTAGTGCGGCGCTATTTACTATTTAATTTATTTAGTCGTGTTGTAGATCTTTCATTTTGATAATTAAAATTTATTTAGATCTAGGTCCACTGTCCGTCCACCCATTGTGTTTATCTGGTATGCTGCTACAATGTCTGAGTGAGAGCAAAAAGAAATTCCCAAACGTCAGTTGTACTAGATCTAGATCTAGATCTAATTGATTTGAAAGAGGGCAGTTTAGCTGCACCTGACAAGTCGCATTATTATGATGACCCATTAGAACAAATGATTATTTTATTCGAGAAATGAACTAAACGTAACAGCACCAGACTCTGGCGTAGATCTAGATCTAGATCTAGATTCTAATCCCGGTTCATTACGGTGCCCATCATTTGACTCTATTTGACACAAAATTAAGGGCACCGTAGATCTAGAAAGATTTGAACCTATACTCGACTATAAGAGACTGGGAGACTGTTTGGTTGCCCATGGTGAGCGCGCTTTGCAGCGAAGTTTTTAAGGTTTTACTAGATTTAGATTTAGATCTAGCTAGATCTAGGCTACTTTGCTTAGCCTGTAGCCTACATAGAGGGATAGAAGTAGAAGGCGAATATAGATCTAGTGCGCGGAGTAATTTATGCAAATTTTTATATTCCACGTGTGAGATAGCAGTGTGAAATATAAGGATATATTTTACCGGAAGTGCAATGCTAAAACAGCTCCAAGTAGAATCTATGGTATAAATTTATTTATCTTATTTTATCTACAGTGGTAGTTTTGAGGACCACCATCCCGCCGTCGGAAGACAGGTCGTTGGGGCAACATCAACAGCAACAACAACAACAACCTCACCACCACCACCAACAACCACAAGATGCCTTCCGTATGGGACGTGGTGAACCTGTACCTGGGTGCTCTCTCCCTGAATGATGACGACCTCTCTAAGTGAGTGTTTTTCCTCTATGTCGTATCTTTCCTCTTTCTTTGATATCAAACATCTATCATCGTAATCTTTCCTCCTTGTTTGATATCAGACATCTATCATCGTTATCTTTCCTCCTTCTTTGATATCAGACATCTATCATCGTTATCTTTTCTCCTTCTTTGATATCAGACATCTATCATCGTCATCTTTCCTCCTGCTTTGATATCAAACATCTGTCATCGTTATCTTTCCTCCTTCTTTGATATCAGACATCTATCATCGTCATCTTTCCTCCTGCTTTGATATCAAACATCTATCATCGTTATCTTTCCTCCTTCTTTGATGTCAGACATCTATCATCGTTTTCTTTCCTCCTCCTTAGATATCTTACTGAAACTTGGCCCTGACAGGCAGAGTCGGAAGCCTGCATCCTAAATGATCTAGATCTAGATTTGGTTATTTGGTTAATGGGAATATACAAACAATCGCATTAAAAAGAAATAAAGGGGTAGCGATTTGAAGACGAGGAAGAAATTGTGCTGAACAAAAACGCTGTGCTAAAGACTCGGGACGAAGTGAATATGCGCATTGCGTATGATCGCTGGCTACATCGGATGAAAAGTCCATTGTTTGAAACGGTTGTTATGTTGAAAACCCCCCAACCCCAAACGTGCAAAGACCCGCTATTGTTTACAATCGCAAGCTGTCGTTTGACTTCCCTCCATACTCCGGCCAGTAATTGCCTCGATGTTGTCTGTACATATTGGTTTTTGTCCACCCTTGATCTTTAAACAAACTATAATAATTGACAATAATGATTGTTGTGGCCTTCTGTTCCTTGTAGCTCCAGCTTCGTCAACGACACAGAGGCGTGCGACAATAAGCTGATAGAGGACACTCTGTTCTACCAGCTGGCCCTGATTCCCGCAGTGAGTTCTCGCTGGACCTTTGGTTATTCTTGCTGGGAGGATGACTCCATTAATTAACCATAAGATAAGATATGATAAGATACGATAAGATAAGATAAGATAAGATACATATTTATTGTCCCGATCCTGGCACCCACAATGACTTACCCCTTAGTATTAGTACCTACCAGTGGCGTCCTCCAACCACCCACAATGACTTACCCCTTAGTATAAGGACCTAACAATGGCGTCCTCCAACCACTCACAATGACTTACGTCTTAGTATAGGGACCTACCAGCGGCGCCCTCCAACCACCCACAATGACTTACGCCTTAAATAGTTCACCACTTGGTTGTTTACAGTCGTAACAAACATCTACCAGACCTCAGACAATTTTTGTTATCTATAACCAAACTGTATGCTTATAAATTGGGTCATTCATTTCTACAAAGTTTGGTGTTTAATTCATATATATGGGTTCAACAGAGGTGGAGTTATAGGGAAGTTTATGGTGTTTAAAATTCGAATGACAAAATGGCTGAGAACAAAGGAAGAAGAGCCTTTGGCATACTTAGAGTAAAAGCCCATGCTAGATACATCGCTACCTTAGAATTACAACCTCGTTTTGAAAAACCTGACGTCAGAAATTTAGAGTTTCACAACAAACATGTCAAGCTTTTTTGAATGCAAGTTTTTGAATATATTGATAACGACTCCGAATACTCTTACGGTTTTGATAGAGCAGATAGATCAATAAATTGATTTTTGTTGACCTCATGGTCATAGTCTTAGAAACTCAAAACGGTAAAAAATGTCAAGTAGAACTTTGTGATTCTAAGGTAGCGATACGTAGAGCTTGTGGGGGATACGCTCCATACTATAGAGTTTAACCCTATCCGTACGCCATGGAGCTATTTTGTACCCCGGAGTTGTATTCTTCACTTTTAAACTGCTTCTAGCCCGAAGATCTCTTTGAAACTTTCAGTATTTCTCAAGAAATAATTTTGACAGACTGCTAGCTATGCAAAGCAAACGTATCGGATTAACGAGTAAATTTCCTCTTTAGAAAGTGGTGGCACAGAGTTCCCCACGTCGTATGGATAAGATAGTAAAACGCGACATACGGATAGGGTTAAGTATGAGTAAAGGAACGAGAGGTTTCACGTATTTTAGGAAAGGAGAGCCCAATCAGAACTTTACGGAAAGCATGATAATAATCTCAGGGCACTTTAATTCTACGCAGTGTTTTTCACCTCTTGAATATCTTCCCCCAGTTTGTCATCCTTGCTGTGTTCAGCCTCACGCAAAAACGGCGACAGTTGGCCTTGAACGTGCTGCAAGGTCGTCCTGGCTTGATTTTGTGAGTGTTATCATCATCATCATCATCATCATCATCATCATCATCATCATCATCATCATCATCATCATCATCTCGACGATTAGCCTTTTATGTCTTCATCATCTCATCATCCCATCGTAACCCTTTCTTGTTCCCCCACCCCACCCTCCACACCCTCACCACCTTTCCCTTTCCCTCAGCCCTGTTGACATGACGACCCGCTCCAACCGTTTCTCCTACGCATGCGCGTTCGGGTCCACGGCCTATCTCCTGGTACAGTGTATCTTTGACAACTTCCGCGCCTTTGACTACGAGGGGCACGTCGCTTTGAAAAGTAAGTTTTTTAAAAGTAAAGTTTTTATTTCATTTCCTATCGGAGAGGGCCGGCAGGCCCATTTCCTGTCTTGAAGAAAAGCAACTTTCGCTGTTCAATATCGTTAAGTAGCTGCAACGAGCTTAATCGAAAATTTTGTTATAAAAATTATCTATAGCCCACATTGTTTAAAATGTTATTGCAAATAATAGTCCCTTGTATATTTCTCGGTGTCCCCTGTATATTTCTCGGTGTCCCCTGTATATTTCTCGGTGTTCCCTGTATATTTCTCCAGCTGCTGTCATCTTGGCGTCCGTCCTGATCTTCGGCATCGTCTACTTCCCCGTGTTCGCCTGTCTCACGCTGGGCTCCATATACAGCCACGGCCTGGGCGCCGCCTACGTCTGGATGATGACCGCTGTCCAGGTGGTCAGGCTGGTGGAGTGTGAGTACCATACTGTGAGTACCATACTGTGAGTACCATACTGTGAGTAATAATAGATAATAATAATAGATAGCATTTGTATAGCGCAAATCCCCGCTCAGCAGCAAGCTCTATGCGCTTCACAATCTATACTGTTACCCCAGCAGACCTGAGAGCCTTCTAAAACAACCTCAACTTCCTGGGAAGCATGCAGTGAGAGCGGTCAATTATAAGCGCTACAACACTAACATACTGACAAGCTCTTTTGCTGTCTATGGCCGGGTACCCATTCCCACCTGGGTGAAGAGAGGAACATTCGTGTAAAGTGCCTTTCCCAAGGACACAACGTCGGGCCGCGGTTCGAACATCCGAACCTGCAACCTCACAGTTACGAGTCCGGTAGCCTAACCACTAGTACCATGCTGTGAGTACAATACGGTTGCCTTAATCCTCTATCCTGCTCCCATCTCTCTCTCTCTCCCAGGAGACCCGCCTCATCATCGTTCTAAGGAGTGTCCCTCAAGTCCTCTGTCTGCTCTACCTGTCTCTCAACATTCCACTCCGATTCTACAGGGTGAGTTGCTTATTATGCAGGTAATTTTACTTCCCCATCGACACAATTTATATCATATAGAAGGAGGGCTTCTGACCTTTCCTGCTTGAACCAATTCAGGCTGAGAGGGACACAATATCTCAGTAGAAACGCCGAAATATTTGATTTTAAAAAATCTCCCCTTCCGAGAATCGAATTCGAGTCTCCTGTATCATACAGCAAAGTGCCCAATCGACTGGAGAGATGATTGTATCGAGTACCTCGGTCTTTCTTCTGGGACGTTGGCTCCCTCTCAGCCTGGGTTGTCCCTGAACTGACTTACAAGTTCGGAAGCCCGCTTCCATAATGATCTAATTTGTTCCGATTGGGGCCTAAAACACGTAATATATCTTTTTTAAAGATAGCTTTGAGACTGTGTAAAGGCATAAATAAAGAAGCAAGATACTGTTGTAGATAAAGTTTTAAAAATGAAAACACAAAACCAAACCGAAACAAAACAAGCCCCACACCCCACCCCAACCCAACAACAACAACAACAACAACAACAACACCATCAACAACAACAACAGACACAGACAACAACAAGAACAAGAACAACAGTAACAACAACGACAACAACAACAACAACAACAACAACAATCCACAAACCGTGCAGAACAACCACTTGCCTTTTTCACACTACACACTTTGACCTATTCGTGCCGCAAATGCCGTAACAACTCATACTCTTTGGTTGCTTTTAAGGACAAGCGGGTTAACCCAGAGTTTGGGGGTTTTTCCAGAAATCTTGACCCATACCAAAAGTGGGCATTTCCTCACCTACAAGAGAAGTTTGGTTTCATTGGTGTGCATATTTGTTTGGTCATAGAGAAAAGTCTCCTTGTCTTTTAAGAGAACTGAATAAGAAGAATCCAAAAAAACTTAAGCTTCGATTTTCTCAAAACAGGACTTTTCGGGATAGCCCCCCTGTGCTTAAAAGCAACCTTCGAGAGAAAGAACAAACACAAAAAAAACAACCCCCCCCCCTGTTCCTGAAAAAAGAAACTCTTCTCATGTTGATGTCCTTGTACGAAACTTGCCAGGACAATGATTATAAATATTTATGGTATTTACGGTCTCTGTGTCAGGACATGAGGAGGAAATCTTGCTGTGTGCGTCCCCTGGCAGAAGGCTTTGGCGACAGACACTTGACGGGCATCAAGGCGAGCATACAGGGGAAGCACGTGCGGGAACTACTGGAGCCTAGGTGGAGGAGGGTTCAGAGACTGCAGTCGTAAGTACACATAGGGTTGTTTGTCGTTGTTGTTGCTGTTGTTGTTGTCGTTGTTGTTGTTGCTGTCGTTGTAGCAGTTGTTGTTGTTGTTGTTGTTATTGATGTTGTTGTGGTATTGTTGTTGTTGTTGGTATTGTTGTTGTTGTTGTTGTTGGTATTGTTGTTGTTGTTGGTATTGTTGTTGTTGTTGGTATTGTTGTTGTTGTTGTTGTTGTTGTTGTTGTTGATGATGTTGTTGTTGAAGCCGAAGTAGAGGAGGGTTCAGAGACTACGGTCGTGAGTACAGATTGGGTTGTTTGTACTGCTGCTGTTGTTGTATTGCTGTTGTTAATGTTGTTGTTGTTGTTGTTGTTGTTGTTGTGTTGCTGTTGTTGTTGTTGTGTTGCTGTCGTTGTTATCGTCGTCGTTTATTGCTATTGCTGTTGTTGTTGTTGTTGTTATTGTGTAATCGAAGTGGGGGAGGAACTAAAAGTCACGTTCGTGAGTAGACTGGTTCGATGGGTATTTTTGTTCATATTATTATTGTTTATGTTGTTGCCCTGATGCTGTTGCTGTTGTTGTTGTTGCTGTTGGTTTTGTTTTAGTTGTTATGAATCAGGTTATGAATAGGACCTGTCGTTTATGATTCCCAGAAAGGAGAAAAGCTGCTGTGAGAAGGTGAAGGATGCTGCTCTGAATGCCACATACAGACGGGAACCTGGTAACTGTTGTGTAACAGTAAATGTACGATTGAGGATTGTGCTGGTTGTGGTGGTGGTGGTGGTGGTGATGATGATGATGATGGTGATGATGATGATGATGATGATGATGATGATGATGATGATGATGATGATGATACTCTTGCTAGACTAGCATCAATTTCAGTATAGTTAGCTCCTTGGCCTGGCTCGCTCTGAGTCAGTTCCGTCTAGCCTGTAAATACACATAATCTTAAGACCCTCTTCCCCTCTTCCTTAGGCCCATTTCCCCGCTAGTATACAGCGCTCATTTAGTTTTTCTCTCAGTTGCTGCAGAAGAAGCCCAAGAGTCCAAACAATGATTATGATGATGAC